TGTCTGCAAGTGACTGTAACTTCCCATTAGATAAAGCGGGTGCAATGAGGATGGAAACCTGCTTTACCCTTTCCCCACCCAGGGGCAGAGAGGCAGGATATATGAGCCAGTTTAAAGCTAATGACGAGCTCTCTCCTTCCCGTCCCTACAGAACACTGTGTGGGAAACATAAGCCTCATTTTATGCTCAACAGATATCTGAAATCAGTAGCACAGAGAGTAGGATTTCTGACTACAGTTTTAAGTCACTGGTTCTCTGTACACCATGATGTGTACCTCTGTGTAATTTTGAGCTAAACTGAGAACTAGACTCTCTGTACTGCAATTATTTCCATGACATTCCCCCGACCACCACCCAGGGGGACCTCAGGTAGCACGGTTCTCTATATGCTGGGTGATTAAACCCATCCCGTCTTAGGCTGTGTTGAGTCAGAGACGAGGTGGAGATGTCAGGGCACCTGGGTTCTCTGCACTCGTTGGGGCTCTAGGAGCTCTGCACTGAGTTCTGGATGGAGTTTAGTGCCTGAGGTGTGGTCTCCGGAGGCACAGACGGTAAGGTGAAAGGAGACCCTGCATAGGCATCACATCCCTCAAGATCACCCTGCCAAGATCCTCTCTCACTCCCTCTTGTCAGCTAACACAACTGACGTTTCCTTCCAGGGTCACATTTTCTTATGTAAATGTACCCAGCACTAGGTGAGAGTAAGGACCTTTAACCTTGCTTTGGCCACGTTTCTATCTGCACAGCCACACAAAGGCAGTTATCTCAGCCACGCTCATTTCACAGGCGGGGACCCTACAGTTGAGCGGAGCTGAGCCATTTCACCCAAGGGTACCACATTGGGTGACGAGTGCTCCCACACCAGTCCTGTGACGACATAGTCTTTCATCTAACCCTAAGCCCCTGTTGGTAAGTTCTTCTCTCTAACCACCCTGCCTGGGTTTTGCATCCCTCTTCCAGCATGTAAAAAGCACCTTACATGTACCTGCAGCCAGGCTGGTTGGTACTTTGCTTGCTGTTTTCCACAGCAGGGTGTGGTGCCCACAAGGGAAGGAACTGCCTTCATCTCCGTATCTTTTCTGCCTGTAGTCAAACAGACGCTCTGAAGTTATTACCCTAAATGAATACTAAATATGATTTGACTTGGAACACCTGGAGTACATGATATTTAGGACCTAAAGAAAAATCAATATATCTTCTTATGCATGAACGTGGGGGCAGAGATAAGATAATCACGATGTCTGGATGATACCCAGCAGGACATAAGGTAGCATACAGCTCCTCCTTGTAACACGCCTTCACCATGAAGACACCAGTGTAACATGGAGACTGGAAAAAGGAGTGTTTTGAAACTCAAAGGGTCTAGATCAGATTCAAATCTTGCTTCACCAGCTACAAGGACCTGCAGCTGACATAATGACCTCATTGCCTGAAGCTTCAGTTGTTTCCTTTATAAAACACAGATGACAATGCTTATGGTAATTATAATTTAATGAAACCGTTTAAATGAAGGCACATGCTTGGCAACTGTCACAGCTTAACCAGTATGTGATGACATCCAGACTGAAATGAAGTAACAGAGGGCAAGGGATGACAGTCTACTTCACAGCAGAGGGGGCATGGGCTGAGTTCAGAGGATGATGGCCTACCCAGAAGCAGAGAAGACGACGAGTTCAGAGGGCAGAGGACGATGGTTTAGTTAGCAGCAGAGGGGACGTGGCTGAGTCCTGAAGGTTGGGGTTGGTCCCCATGTGTAAAAGAGCAGGGAATACTGACTCACCAACACAGGTGGATTTCAAATTACTTTAATGTAGAGTCCTGGATCTTTTAAACTACTATATTCCCACTACCTAATCTCTATCTAGCACAGAACTCCATGTCCTCATGTAAGAAAACAGATGGACTCCAGGAAGAGACAGGCCAGGAGCAGAGGAGCAGAAGAAGAGAGCAACCTAATGTGGGGGCACTACAGGGGGAAGTCAGGATTGGGAACCGGTGGCCAGGCAGTGAAACGTCCTGCATTGGCAATGTTTAACCCTATCTGCCAGACTGCACGGAGAACTGCCTAGGAGGAGAGTACAGCCTGCTGCCCGTAGGAAAGTCTTCAAATAGTTCAGGATGGTTCTGACGAATCGAGTTTATCCACCGAGAGACCCAAGCTGAGAGCAGACTACTGAGGAAGTGATGGAATGGAGAAGGTGAGCCTGTTCAGAGGAGGTGGGTCCCTGGGTGTGTGTTCACCCAGGGACGGTGTCTGCTCCTTCCTGTTCCTGCAATGATGGATGACAGCTTCTGTGGCCAGGAGCTCCCTTTAAGCCACAGGTCACAATGTAGCAGTCACAGCAGTCACATAAGAGCACTCCCATTCCAGGGTGCTCCTAGTCTTGGAGTCATCCCCTTTCACAGTATGATGAGGCCATGGACTGTGCAAGAATGAAATACAAATACGATTCTATGATTCCTGGCCATTAGACTAGAAGACCACCCTCTGTCTATGCACAGTCCTGATTTAAGAAGCCTATGTGAGGACTGAGTTACTCTTGACTCAGGATGGGGTCTGAGCCACTGAGTGTAAGTACTCTTCAGAGGCTGGCAGAAGGGCCTGGTATTCCTGGAGCCTGTACAATGGACCGCAACCTGGCCAACATCTTGATTGGAGCCCAGTGTCACAGATTTGACACACAGAATTCTATGATAACAAACTATTTACTGTGTAGACCATGAAAAAGAAAAGTCCATATTTATACTCATTTGATAGAGTAATCACTAAACAAGAACAAAAATACTATTTGAGAAGAAAACAACCTAAAAGCTCTGATACTAAGATATGTCACCCGCCCCCCTTTTGTAGGAAAACAAGCAAAAATCAAGCAAATGACAAACTCAATGAACTTCACAATTTTCCTCTATTAGAAGAGATTTGATTTCTTTCTCTGGGCAATTTAAGTGTTTCAGTTAATTCTGACTATGAAGAAAAGAAAAGTTTCTATGTTTCACCTTTATATTACATACGTGAATTCGATCGTGACCACCGAGCTTCAGGTGACTGTTTCACGGTCAGGACAAACAATGCCTACAGCATCACTCACTGAAAGTTACAGAACTCTAAGTACGACAGCGTGGCCTCATCTCCTTGGCACTGTCGGGAAGAGACGCTTGCCCAGATGTGCACAGCTGAGTGGCAGCGTTCAAATATAAACACTTGAGAAGATCCAACCAGGATGGCGGAACACACATGCAGTGAGTTCTAGGGGCAGTCAGGGTCACAGAGTGACAGCGAATCTCAAAACCAAACAAACAAGCCAACTACCAAAACCGACAGTAACATCCCCAAATATCGCACCCCAAAAGAGAAGTCTTAGAAAGATCATGTGGGCCAGGACATATGTGGTGGTTGCTATCTACAAAACGAGATCTAATTAATGATACCTTCCTACTTTTACAGATATTTGCTTCACAGATCTCCAGGTTTAAGAAAGGAAGGGAGGGAGGGAGGGAGGGAGGGAGGGAGGGAGGGAGGGAGGGAGGGAGGGAGGGAGGGAAGAAGAAAGAGAAAGAAATTAATTCTACAAAACACCTGCTTTAATATTTATTTTATAAAAGTCCTAATTTTCAAAAGTGAGAAGCACATAACACTGTTCTACAAGACCAGGTTATTATTTTGAAAAACTGCTTGTACACTTCTGTAAGTTCTTGCATTCACATATATGTATAAAAATCAGGGCTTCACATTAATCATTCAGTCTGGCAAACTGCTCTCTTTAACGTAAAAATTTAGAAACCCTTGCGGATAATTATTATTACTGACGAGACTGCTCTATTTTCATTGGAAACAATGAACCCAGGTGCTGACACCCAGCCAAGCCTCCAGTGTCCAGCTCCAGACCCACTCACACTGCAGAGTCTTCATGCAGAGGACCTTGGCTATGGTCACCTGTGAAGCAGTGGGGGGGGCACCTTGCTCCACCCCACCGCATCAGCAAGAACAGGCTGACATCTCAGCAACTCAGATCTGGGACAAGTGGTGCCTACCTTTGTCTGCTCTAAGTCACAGGGAGCTCCTCTGACAGTCCAGGGTGGTCAACATTCCTAACAAAAGAAGAAATCTATTTACTCAAAAGAAATGGATGGAAACCCCCCAAAATAAAGACAAATATTTTACATAATCTACAATTAAAACTTAAGCCAAATGATTAACGAATAACTTTATTAAACCCTTGTCAGTTTTAAGAACGCCCTCAATGACTAACCAAAAGATGTATTACACACAACTAGTTATGAGGTTTTACAGTTGTTTAATAGGGAAGAATTGGCCCCAATTAAACTGGCTAAACTAAGGCTTTTTAGATTACTAAAACAAATTAAACTTTTTAAAATGAGAATTTAGGTGATCTTAAAACCTTTCTAAAATGGATAATGAAACTGGCTAAGTTGTAACCTCCCTGGTTTTATTAGTTATATTAAGATAAATTAAGTGAGATTAAAATCTTATTTGATTTATTTACCTTTGAAAATGAAGACCGTTTAAGGGTTACACATCCTCAGCCTTGGCGAGCGCGACCTCAATTAGTCAAGTCAGACTGTCTTTAAAAGCTTTGTGCTTATGCTTCCAGCATGGAGCGAGGTGTTCATTAAGGTACCAAAAGTCTCATAAAAAATCCAAAGTTGCACTAGTGAAAAAACGCTCGACAAGATGAAAACTGATCACATCCTTTTCAGAAAATCCAGTAGTTATTTTAAAACCAGTTTTAAAACCAGATTGGGTCTGCGTGGGTTTAACGTGCCACTCGAGCAGCTCGATACCGTGTGGACTCTTTAGACCGCATTTGAACCTATGGTGAGTATATCATGGCACATTTAATTTTATACCACTTTTAAAATAAGCTGTACAGTATTTAGTGTGACAAGCATCGCTAGAGGAACCCTTTCCCTGTTTACAGCTATTTATGAAGGCCTTTTTAAATAGAAAGACATGAAATCGTTAGCTCACACACACGAAATTTCTTTCAAAAGTTTATTTAGTATCAAGCAAGAGGAGACTTTGCTTAACACTACAGAACATTTCAAGACTCGAGTTACAAAAGAATACCACATTGTTTGCACTTGTAATTGGCTCCCTTTTTACGCAAGTTGGCAAGAAAAAAAAAAACTAGCATATGGCTGAAAGATAAAATAACTAAATTCTATGGAAACCTTTAAAATGAAAGGTGAGGCTTATGTTAAAAGAATGGATTAACATATTTAGTAAACCTAGCTTTTTGTTTAACACTAGTTAATCAAAGTTATTTTTTCCTTTTCATGACCTAGTTTTCATATACAGACTGCAAATAACAAAATTTTACATGTCCTTCTTCTCCCTGCCAAGTGGATGCTTCAACAAAGTGGTTTTAAATTCCATCCATTCAGATTTTAAGCATTTTGATTTATTTAAAAAGGGATTGTTCATAGAAAAAAATTACTTTGAACAGTATACAGGACGGTGGAGATTGGCTATTTCACAACATCAGACAGTACAATCAGTATCTGCCATATGGCTGGTCTCTGTAGACGCCCTTCGCCGTCCTCGCTGAAGGCGCCTTATGTCTTGAGTTAGTCCATTCTTCTTGCCCTAAAATCAGGAAGATGAATCACAATTAGGCCATTGTCATGGGGTCCCAGTAGCTCCATCCGTCAGAACCAGTGGTAAATGTCATACTGGAGATACGTGTCTCTGATGTACTAATAAAAGAAGCACAAGGGGATTTACTTTAAAATATTATAAACACAGTACAGAATGATTGTGTCACGGGTGACATGATCACCTTGAGAAGAGAGTGACCTTTGTGCTGGAAGCAGCCACTAACTGCAAGAATTTCCTCACAGAGCAAATCAACAGCTTTAGACAAAACTCTAAGAGAATGGACAAGGACTATTCTAATTTCTTCCAACAGTAAAGAAAACGAAAAAGAACACAGATATTTTGGGATAAGAAAAAGGAAGAACTGAGATCAAAGTGGGAAAGGCAGATGGAGAAAAGAAAAATCTCTGTCTTGACAGGTTCTGCACAGAGAGACTGAAGGAAGCATACTGGTGGGGACGTCGCAGTGACACCATGTCATGAAGAGCACACATGGACAGCGCTTGCTAACCTCAGACATCCAATCACCTTTACCCCCGAAAGTCAACAGTGTCCGGTGTCACGACTTTTATTTATCCCCAGGTCTCAGAAAGCAAATAAATAGTTAAGTTCTTGCTGTAACACAAAGCAATCAAAAAGCCATGTGTCCTCAGAGACCAATTTAAAAAGCTGGGAGAGAAAAATGCTTAAAATGACCTCTTCTGATACAAACACGCAATCAATGCCATTCTCTTTGGCTAACTTGCACGGATTTCAGTAGGCAGCACTTGCCAAGTCAATGCATGTCTCCTAAATGTTTATTATGAATAATTACCCCCCAAAAAAGAAAGAGGAAAAAAAAAAGACTAAACCAAAGAGAAAAAAAAAAAAACCCAGCCCCTGGACGGTGATACATCAAAATGCACTTCAAGGTAACACCAGAAAAAGGGTTTTCAGCTAAGTTCAGGAAATGTTGCAGAGCTGACTTCCCAGGATCCCCACTCACTGGAAGAGGACACTAGGCATTCTTGGAGATTTGCTACCAATAGAGGCTTCTTGTTCCCTGATCTCTCTGCCCTGTAGCAAAGGCACTTCTTACTATCATTTTGTCGCTACCGTCACCTCTGGTAATTAAACCTGTAATCCTTCAGGCTTATTGAGGCTCATGGATTCCCCAGCACCTTAATGGTCTCTGCAGAACTAAGAGGAGTTACCTCCTAAAGAGCCCAACAACCCTTGTGTCTCCTCCATGGCTCGGCTTTTGTAACCTTTATGAAAGGACTCTTAGGATGATTTTTCTCAGGTCTTGAGGTGGGGAGAAGAATTAAAATGTAAAGATGGGAGAAGGACAAGTGTGAGAGGTGCAGTGAAAATGGCTTTCTTTATTTCCTTTACTGTCAAGGAACAGAGATAGTTCAGGTGTCTGCAGTTTGGCAACCTACTCTGTTAAAGCAGTGAGAAGGTCAGCACTGGCCATCAACCCAAACAAAACACCTAGGCCTGGGATCTGAACTCATGTACTGGAACACACTCTTCAGTTGCCTTTAAGTACCACATTTAACTATTAAAGGGGCCTCTGACAATAGCAGGGTATATACAGATGAATCAAGAGGGGGTTCACACACAAAATAAATTCCTCATGAAAACAAGCATGGATCTCCCTTCCAATAAGGACTTTTAAGGTTTGTCCGTGCCCACTTGTCCTCTCTCTCTGTGATTATTATGGCCACTCACTCACCATAGGAATCATAAGCCTCCTCACCGAGTCCATGCCCGTAATCATAGTAATCAGCTCCGCTGCACGAACAAAAGAAAACACTGTTAGCACAAGAAGTTTCTGCTGTGGGGCTAAATCACACCCAGTGCAGTACTCAAAACTAGATAAACTAAAAATAGAAATGGCTAAAGTGGAATTAATTCCTCCTGAGATGACAGAATGCTGAGAAAAGACAGACTTTTTGACTATCAAAGGCTCTTAACTCCTGAGTCTGTCATTCAAATCACAATTGGGGAAAGGCTGGGGTCCTCACCAGGTGGGCTCACACCAGGTGCTGTGGGAGATGGGCAGGAAGCAGGGAACACCATTTCTTTTCAAAAAACAGAGGTGGTTTCTTTGATTCTTTCAAATGTGTCACAAAACTCAGCACCGTGACAGTTGTGGGCACTTTACTCATCCACTAAACAGCAGGCCCGCCAGAGTCTGCTCTTCATCAGCATCACCATGCTCCATCAGAGTGGCAAACCTCACACCTGGGCGCCTGGAGTTACAGGGTCTTTTCAATGGATAGGCAAGTCTAGGTTCTAATCTACCATTCCCAAGACAGCAAGGAGAGCCTGCTGTTGCTACCCCTTAGCAAATACTATAAAAATAGGCTTCATCTTCATATCACATTTGAATTGTATGTGGTTCTGTTTTGTTTTTACAAATAGAAGTTTGGTTACTAAGCTACAAGTGTTCTGTATATCCGAGGAAGAGGGTCCATTTACCCCCCTTAGGCTTCCTTTGCCAGCAATTTTATAAGAAACAAGCATCCTTATTATATCAAGGTCCAACAACCAAACATGAAGCTTCCAAGCACAATGGAAGCCAGCGTGCATTTCACACCTCGAGAAACATGGTGTCTTTTGCCATGTGCTTTGGGGCCAAGGTAGAAGAGTTGTCACACCACGTTACAGGGGAGGATGGCTAGGGAACCAGCCTATTATCTCACTGGCAACAGCAGAGCTCAGACCCCAACTACAGGCTACACCCCACCCCACTCCTTAACCCTCACCCCATGTTTCCTTTTTTGTGTAAAATAGACCTAAGACCAAACAATCCAAAGGCACCCTAAAATCAGATGGCTCCCCTGGACCCTCAGCAATAAAGTGCTGTTCCACTGGGACAAGGCTTCATGTGACTACCCCTTCAGCTGGAGGTGCTTTCAGTCTCTCCTTCAAGCTGCTTTCTACTCAAACTTCAGCCTACATGTTACCTTCACAGAAATTCTCTCATTCAGAGTCAGGCTGTCTCCATCCTAGTCTATCGTCATCATTTTTCATCCTGGCCTGTATCAGAGGTTTCCACAGCAGGCATGGAAGAACCAGGGTGTGGCCAATGGTACACACACACACACACACACACACACACACACACACACACACACACACTCCCTGTGCCCCAGATAGAGGGTGCAATGCTGCATAATGTTCTGAAGGACCAGGAAGATGGAGGTGAAGGTTGGCTGAGGAGAAGGAGCAGAGTAAGCAAAGCATAAAAGAAGGGAAGAAGATGAGAAATCCAAGTGTTTTCAAGAGTCTTTAAATAGAATGACCAAGTTCTAATAACATCATGGGCCAGAATGACCATCAGGATAAGTCTTCTCTAAGTGCACAATACAGGATATATACCCTGTAAACCTGGGCTAACCACATTCTTACAAATCAGCTAAACACAGCTGAACACGCTTGCTCCAAAGTGAATCCTCTATAATCGAGGCTCTAGAACATGCTGTGCTGGAGAACATAGGTAGCCTGTCAGAATGGAGGCAGGCAATCCCACAAAACTGAGAAGGAAGGGGAGTCAAGAGTGGACCTATGACAACCTGGCCAGATGGCTTAACTACCTAGACTGGCAGTTTCTCTTGGGTACAATCCCACCTGATCTAAAAATCTGCTTTTACTGTTTTAGGACAATGAGGCTCACAGAAGCTGAGGGGCACTGCACCTCCACCTAAGGCTCGGCTACCATGCACAGGACACAGGCTGTGCATTCCTTAGCTGATCACATTTCCCTGGAACTCCTCACACTCAGCACAGAAGTCATGGTTCGCAGGGACGGTGGTGGTTTGAAAGAAAATGGTCCCCAAAGAAAGTGTCACTATTAGGAGATGTGGCCTGCTGGAGTAGGTGTGGCTTTGTTGGAAGAAGTGTGTCACTCCAGGGGTGGACTTTGAAGTCTCCTAAGCTCAAGCTATGACCAGCGTCACAGTTCACTTCCTGTTGCCTATGGATCAAAATGTAGAACTCTTAGTTCCCTCTCCAGTACTATGTCTGTCTGCATGCCACAATGTAAGCCAGTCCAGTTAAAAGGTTTCCTTTATAAGAGCTGCCATGGTCAGGATGTCTCTTCACAGCAACAGAAATCCTAACACAAGGACCATGCTATGTGGACACAGTAACTGCCCACAGCATTGTTTTTCTCTGGTTTCTGGTCTCTCTTCCTCTCCTGTAGGTCTGACTCTCCTCTAGGCACAACGAACCCTTACAGTGAGAAGAACTAACTGGAAAAAAGTGATAGACTTCCATAATCAGAAGGAAATAAACCCAACATCAAGAAACAAAACCAACAAGGCTTCTCTCTACAACACACTGTGCTGTAGAATAAGGAAGAGTTTTAAAATACAATAGCTCTCCTTTTAATGACAGAAACTCAGACTCAGGCAAAGGTTTAGAGGCAAAGCTGAACACCAACCAGTCAAGACACCTGTGTCTGCTCCTGTCTTCAGGGTCTTTGGTGAAGTCACTCCATGTGTAGGGCCCAAGTGACAGCTCAGTTGGGCTGGCTTGATGTTGCCCTCACTCCAGTGTTCTCCAAGGCTCAGCCACAGAATCTGACTCCAAATAAGTCAAAGTACCGTCTAATTAGCAAATAAACTGACTAATAATGCTTTCAAGAAACTAAATTAAAGGAACCTTAATTTTCTTTTCCAAAGTCAGAAGTAACATTACAATGGTTTCTCAGACAATTAAAACTAGAAGGTTCTTGAGAATTGTACCAGTTGCACAGACCAGTCCAGATTATTTCAGAGCTAAGATGACAGACCTCGAGACTAATAAACACAAGAGTGTAACAACAGCCTCAACGACGAAATGACATCATTGGTAATGAACAGCCACTCGGGCTGGACATTTATCTCTGAAGAGCACTCACACAATTCAATTCAGCATGTAGTGGGGTCCCGAATATTTTCCAATCAACAGGAAGATAAAAGGCAACATAGTTTGGCCTAGCCTTGGTTAGGCGATAAGACAATCTTAGTTTTGACAAGTGAAAACTTTCAATTGACATTTGCTATCATTTCCCCCAGTTTCTGATTATTTATTGCGAGACTGTCATCAAGTGTGGAGCGGGAGCAGCTGCGCCCCGTTCTCCCGCCTGTCAGCTGCATCTAGACTGCTTTCGCCACATTTCATTCGTATACCTCAAATGTCTATTAGCCAAAGATGTGGCCTGTTTCCCAAGATAAACCAAAGCCAAGACATGGCAGAGGAGAAACAAACACTAAGTAAACTCCATTTATGAGCACAACTTAAAAAATTAATAGAAACAAACAATGCCTCCCCCCCTCAAACATAAAGCTGAACAGTACACACTCCATTAGAAAAGACTGGGTTACCGCCTCCCCTGCTAAGAGCTTAGGAGCAGGCTTTTCCTGGTCACCTCACTAGACCTCTACACTCCTGCCCCCAAGGATGTGATCACAGAAAGTCCCAAAGCTCAGCAAAATTCCTGCCTGGAGAAGAGTCAGTAAGCGGATGGTCCAGTTCACAAAAGCTTGATTCTATTATGCTCCCTTCCTTTCTTCAGTTTACTAGGAATGAGCTCACTCATTCTTAAAACCTGTCAAAACACTGGCTCTCAACCTTCCTTATGCTGTGACCTTTTAATACAATTCTTCATGTTGTGGTGACTCCCATTCATAAGATTATTTCATTGCTCTACTTACTTTTTAACTGTAATTTTGCTATTGCTAAGCATTGTGATGTAAATATCTGATCTATGACCCGGGGGGGTCACAACCCACAGTTGAGAACCATCACTCTAAGTAGTCCTCTCCCTAAGCAGGGAACACAAGCAGGCAGTCTCTTCACTAGCCCTCTGTCCCCCAACACATATGCACAGCCACGGCACTGTGCTTGTCCCCCAAGCAGTTTCCCAATTCTGAGGCCTGCTGGATTCAGGGTGTGTACAGTTCCAGAGGTCTCCGTCCTCTGGCCTCTTCTTGTCTCTTAATTAATCACCTCATTGGAATGCCTGGGGATCACATCATTGAGACACAAAATATCTCTATAAACCCTCTTTCTGTGGCTTCCTCTCTTAGTTTCTGGTAGGACAAAGCAAAGTCTTTTAAGCCCATGCCCCATGCCGGCATGCCTGTCCCCTCAAGCAAGTAGCTCTGTGGAGGGCAAGGTGGCTCCTGGCTCTTTTCCATCCCTGGTGTCACCTTGACCTTTAGCCTGACAATCCCTCCGACTGTCGGGTTAGAGCATTTGAATTCAGATGCCAGCCTCTTTTTTCTTATTTACCTAAGCAAATCCCTTGGTGATTTTATATAGTCTCTTTAAATAAAATCTACACATCCAAGTCTCTCAAATTTACATAATCTTTTAAGGTGTTTCTTCTAAGATTTAGATTCATGTGCCAACTGCCTTTTATCATCTAAACTTCATATCACATCAGCCTTCAGAACTCATCTCTCAACCTGCCCCATTCAAGAACCACTACTTCTTAACCAGAACGAATCGATCTAGTGTGCTGAGAACAAAGTCTGCATTCTCGTGTGTGGCTCCACACCTTTATCAAGTCTGCTGGACCATTCCAGTAAGGGCTGCAGAAGACTGCTGCCATCACCTCGCCATGGTAACTCTGCTCCTCACCTCACTCGGCTGCACAGCACAGCAGCTGACAGGGACAACTTCTTCCCCATTTCTTCTCAGTTAAGTGAGAAGGCAAGACCGACATAAAAGGGATGTGTGAGTTTTATTCAGTGATATGGCTCAGCTGCCCTCAGAATAATGTCCAAACCACAGAAGGT